CCCAGCACAGCGTTTCGTGGCCCCATGGGGAGCTCCACCGAAGGCCCCAGTGGCGGTGTCCACATGCGTCTCCCTCACGCAGCACAGCGCTTCGTGGCCCCATGGGGAGCTACATCTGAGGCCCCAGTGGCGGTGACCACATGCGTCTCCCCCACCCAGCACAACGTTTCGTGGCCCCGTAGGGAGCTCCACTGACGGCCCCCGTGACAGTGTCCACATGCGTCTCCCCACACAGCATAGCGCTTCGTGGCCCCATAGGGAGCTTCATCTAAGGCCCCAGTGGCGGTGTCCACATGCGTCTCCCCCACCCAGCACAGCGTGTCGTGGCCCCAGGGGGAGCTCCATCTATGGCCCCAGTGGCGGTGTCCACATGCGTCTCCCCCACACAGCACAGCGTTTCCATATAGGGAGCTCCACTGAAGGCCCCACTGGCATTGCCCACATGCGTCTCCCCCACACAGCACAACGTTTTGTGGCCCCATGGGGAGCTCCACTGAAGGCCCCAGTGGCCGTGTCCGCATGCGTGTCCCCCACCGAGCACAGCGCTTCGTGGCCCCATGGGAAGCTCCACCTATAGCCGGTGTCCACATGCGTCTCCCCCACTGCGTCTCGTGGCCCCATAGGGGGCTCCACCTAAGGCCCCAGTGGCGGTGTCCACATGCGTCTCCCTCAACACAGCGCTTCGTGGCCCCATGGGGAGCTCCACCGAAAGCCCAGATGGCGGTGTCCGCATACGTCTCCCCCGCACAGCACACCGTTTTGTGGCCCCATAGGGAGCTCCACTGAAGGCCCCAGTGGCAGTGTCCACATGCGTCTCCCCCACCCAGCACAACGCTTCGTGGTCCCATGGGGAGCTCTACCGATGGCCCAAGTGGCGGTGTCCACATGCACCTCCCCCACGCAGCACGGAGTTGCGTGGCCCCAAAGGGGGCTCCACCTAAGGCCCAGACGGCGGTGTCCACATGCGTCTCCCCCACCCAGCACAGCGTGTCGTGGCCCCAGGGGGAGCTCCATCTAAGGCCCCAGCAGCGGTGTCCACGTGCGTCTCCCCCACCCAGCACAGCGCTTCGTGGCCCCATAGGGAGGTCCACCCAAGGCCCCAGTGGCATTGCCCGCATGCGTCTCCCCCATAGGGAGCTTCATCTAAGGCCCCAGTGGCGGTGCCCACGTGCGCTTCTCCCACCCAGCGCAGCGCTTCGTGGCCCCATGGGGAGCTCCACCTAAGGCCCAGATGGCGGATGGCGGTGTCCACATGCGTCTCCCCCACACAGCACAGCGCTTTGTAGCCCCATGGGGAGCTCCACTGAAGGCCCCAGTGGCCTTGTCCACGCGCGTCTCCCCCACACAGCACAGCGCTTCGTGGCCCCATGGGGAGCTCCACCGAAGGCCCCAGTGGCGGTATCCACATGCGTCTCCCTCATCCAGCACAGCGCTTCGTGGCCCCATGGGGAGCTCCACCGAAGGCCCAAGTGGCGGCGTCCACATGCGTCGCCCACACGCAGCACAGTCCGCCTAAGGCCCCAGTGGCGGTGTCCACGTGCGTCTCCCCCAGCGTTTCGTGTCCCCATGTTGAGCTTCATTGAAGGCCCCAGTGGCAAAGTTCTCATGTGCCCGTGGCAATGTTCGCATGCGTCTCCCCCGCCCAGTACAGCGTTCCGTGGCCCAAAGGGAGCTCCACCTAAGACGATACCCACAACTGCGGTACTGACAACTGCATATGGTTGGGTCCTTCGCGAGGCTAATTCTTGACTATTTTTGAATACTCCCCCTGTAGAGGGACACGCGCGACTTAAGCCTTGCATCCGTCAGCCGATCTTGACATACTGATCCAGCTGTTCGCCTGGGCCTATATATCGACGAGGCTGCACCCAGCCCCGGGCGGCAGCCGTGCTCCACGGGGACCTACTGGATTTGTCCTCACGGCGCGCCACAGGCTCGTGACAGCTCAGGTGTGGTTGACTCCTCCCGCGCTGATTCGGCCTTCCGACACCCTGGTGTTGAGGGTACCGATCACCCAGCTTTGGCACGCGCTCACGATGCTGCTTCCTCACACGTTGATTCGGCTTCTCGCCGACCTGGTGCTGATGGCCCCCTTGTGATGCTTGAACCTCTCTCACGCGATGAGTCGGCTTTTCGGCGCCCAAATGCTGAAGGGGGTCGATTGCTTGCCTGCGCGGACCTCTCGGGATCTGGTGGCGACGTTCCCCAAGCTTCTGATTCAGCTGTTCGCCGACTGAGTGTCGAGGATACAGTGGATGCAGTTCCTCCTTCGTCACACCATGCTTCAGTTTGTCGCCGCCTTGGGCTTTCACTGCGTCTCGGACGTCTCTCTGCTGCTAGGGCGGGCAAGCGCAGAGCGGCGGAAGGCCACGGGCCATGCGCGCACCTTGGGAGCAGCCAGGGAACTCTAGCCGAGACGAGGGCCGGGGTAACTGGGACGGCTCCTCTCGGGAAGAGGACGAGGCACCAGGCAATGCCCAGCCCCGGCTTGCTCACCCCGCTGCGGCGTAAATACATGGATCGCTCTCCGTCTCGCGTCGCCCCGGCTCGGCCCAGGACCTCGATCCCCATCGCGGGGCCTGCGGTGCTGCCTCCCGGTCTTGACCATGTCGAGTACGCGAGTTGGACAGAGTCCACATTGTGCGGGGCGGCCCGCTTCTGCCACGCCAGTCGTTCCCAGCCACTCGTCCGACGGCGCGAACACTCGAGCGGCAGCATGGAAGCCCCTCGACGCGCTGCCGGTCTCGAGCCCATCCGGCGGTGGACGTGCGAGGGGCCAGATGGGCCCCTGCATCACGGGCGCTTCCTCCGGGCGGCAGGGGCCGGCGACGACGGCGGCGCACGGGCAGTCGCCGCAGCCGCCGTCGCCTCCGAGAAGGCAGACGCCGCCGCCATCTGCCGCCCGGTGGCTGGGCGACGACGGCGCTCCCGCAGCGGCGGGCCTGGCCAGGGAAGCAGGCAATGGGGAGCACGCCCCACCTGGCCCCGGCCCCGCCCGCGCCGCTGGGCGCGCCGCCCGCCCTGGTGGCGAGCTCGCCGGTCCCAACAGCCATGGGCCCCCCCAGTGGCGGCCAACGCTCCGCCGTCGCCTGGCCTCGACGGCGGCCGGAGACCCGACCCCCGCCCGTGCCGACCCTGCTCTGTGCCCTGGCTTGGGCGACGACGACGACCACAACGTCGACGGCGCTGCGGAGGAGCAGGGCACGGTAGCCCGGAACCTCCCCGGTGCCCATGCCGACGCCTCGCCCGACGCCCTGCCCGATGCCTCGGTCGAGGGCACGGCCGACAACGCCCCCAACAACCTTTGGGGCCGCAATCGGCAGCCGGGTCCAGCGCGAGCCCAGCCCCCTGGCGTCGCCGAGCGTCCCCGTCTCGGCCCTGGAGCTGACCACCTCCACCGCCCGGGCGGGCGGGGCGGTCCGCGGCCGCGAGAACCCGGAGGCGCCCAGAGCAGGCCGGTGACGTCGCGAGACAACCACGGCAGGGGACGCCGACAAGCTGTACAAACGTCCCCGCGGGCTGATGCACTGGGAACCCCTTGCTGGCGAGACAACTGGCGACTGCGTCAAATGGTTGCAACGCGAGGCTGGGTCCGCGATTGTCAGTGGTTGGTACGCGTTCTGCACGGCGCAAGTCGAGGGCAAGCGGCGCGCCACCTTCGACCCTGGGAGGCGGTCAGCTGTCCAAAGCTTGGTCATCCTCCGAGGGCTCGCGGACGCTGGACACGACACTTTGGAGTGGGCCGAGCGGAGAGGGCGTGGCGTTGCCGCGGCACCAGCAGTGGGGATGGTCCGCGGGCCCAGCAGGGGATCTTTGACCCTGGACGCGTCCGATGCGCATCTGGCCCTGGTCTTCTCCCGCGCTCTCCGGCCTTTTCGCCCCCCTGCTTATACCCGGTTCTCCCACGCTGGGCCGGTGTTCGCCCTCTGAATTCCCTGCCCGCCTGACACCCTGTTTCACCAGTGCTGCCCCCGCAGAAGTCTTCGCGGTGCTGTTCGGCACCGGAATCTGACCCCGAGGCAAGGGAAGTGCTCCTGCGAACGTCGTCTCCGCCACGTCCTTCGCTGCCCTGCGGCGCCTCGTGCGTCTTCCTGACCGTCACCATCCGGCCCTTCACCCGGTGCGACTGTCTGGTCAATTCTGCTTCGGCTCTGCTCTTGGCAGGTCCTCCTCACTTTGGACCTTCCTGTGACCGTTCTACTACGGCCACTTCATCATGCTCACTTCTCCAAGTCCTTTCTCTCTATGGTCGTCGGCTCCGTTTAGCTGAGTCACGATGCCCCTGCCCTGCAACTCTGGTCTCGCTCGTGGCCCCACTCCTCTCGGCGCCCTGTAAGGCCTTCCACATCAAGCTGGCCTCGGCCTCCTCTGCTCGTACGCAGATCGCAAGCAAGTTCTACTGCGACATCCCTGCGCCGGCTTTCACGGTCTGAGCGGGCTCCTCATTCTTCCCCACTCGCGGTCTGTTCCTTTTCGCCTTCGTGCCTCAATTCGCTCCTGGTGCACCCCCCCGCTTGCTGACTGGCGTCTGACTGTCTTGGACCACTTGGCGCCCGCGGACTTAAAAGTGTGCGCGACGGTAGGTAGGTGTGTGCCTGTGTATGTCTGATGTGCGTGTGTGCGTGCGTGCGTGCGTGCGTGTGTGTGTGTGTGTGTCGTGCATGCGCGCGTATGTCTGATATGTGTACGAGCGAGGGGGAGGAGGAGGAGGAGGAGGAGGAGGAGGAGGAGGAGGAGGAGGAGGAGGAGGAGGAGGAGGAGGAGGAGGCGGAGGAGGAGGAGGAGAGGGGTGAGGAGGAGGAGGAGGAGGAGCAGGAGGAGGAGGAGGAGGAGCAGGAGGGCGAGGGGGGAGAAGAAACGCAGGTGCGACGAGGGTGGGGGAAAACCAAAATCACACTCAGCATGTGGGGAAAAAACGTGCGCCCGAAACTCAGGGTGCACTTGCTCCGTGGCGATGCCTCGCCAGGCTCCACGGGCCTCTCCTGGAAGGCGCCGAGCTCGCTCGCGGCGTCCTCGACGATGCGCAGCTCCCGGGCCAGGCCGGCCGGCAGGTCCTGGACGGTCGTGCCTGAGCGGGAACGTTGGGGGGGGGGCCTGCGACGTTTCGAGGCTCGAGGGCTGCGTTTCTCGAACGTGTCGGCTCTCGGCGATCCAGCCTCGGGATGCCTTCCAGCGGCTGCGCCTCGCCGAGAGCGTTCCAGGGGGGGGGGTCCCAGCTCGCCCCGAACGGCCGCCAGAGGCCCGAACTATGAACCAAAACGACCAGGGGACCGGCTCAGGGGCGGGGGGAGAGGGAAACATCGAGCTGGAATCGGCGATACCTTCGCCGGCAGATCGGCGGCGGGCCCCCGATGGCGATTCCGCACGCTCCTGGGCGGGAAGGGGGGCTAATGATCGGGCCCGTGTCGGCGATGACTGGGCGATTGGGGCTCGATGCTGGAGTACCACGTGGGACCTGCTCTACAACAGGAACGTACCGTAGACGGATCTACCATTCCTCCTCCACTGCGCCGAGCGCAGCGGCCGCGTTGTCCGTAGACGTATCCACCCAGAAAGTGTCCATAGACGTCACGGCACCCCATGTGTCCACAGACGCTTTTGCCCAGAACGTGCGAACGGTATCTGGCATCGGCCCCAGATGTGGGCCTTCTAGAAGCAGGTCGATGCATCCCCCCTGGAGCCTACCCCCCACACCACCTACCGGCTACACGCAAGAGTGGCCCTGTGTAAGAGTGACCTTTGGTGCGCGGCTTTTGGGGGGCCGCGGGGGAGGCCAAACACAAGCGCGCAAGACGCCACTGCGGCCTCGCGTTCGGCGATCGGGACCCCAGTGGGCCCGCACCAAAAGTCACTCCGGCGCAGTCGAACCTGACGCCGCCCCGCAGAACCGGCGAGGGGCAGCAGCTGCCTCTCCGAGAGGCGCAGGGCGGGCGGCGGGGCGGCGGCGGCCGCGCGGGCCAGCCACTCCGAGAAGTTGGACCTGCTGGCCGCACGCAAGAGTGGAGCGGGCACCGTGGGTGCTGCCAGGCGTGCAACTGCCACCACTTTGTGGCATTGTTCAGCGCCCCTCCAACAGGGACTCCACTAACGGGTACTTTGGCCAGCGACCTGGCGAACCCAACTCGCCCCGACGTGGGCAACGCTGCAATGCCAGAAAGAGAGCCAAAAGTGAAAAGTTCTGGCAAAGCTCCGAAGTACCCGATAATGAATACCCATTATGCGAAGCGGGGATTTATCCATATCCACCACCTGGGAACCGACGTCCTGGTGCCCCAGCGGGCGGTGGACATGGATATATTTCGGCCCCCGGGGGCCCGAATATGTCCATATCCACCGCCCGCTGAGGCGCTGGTCGTGTATAAACTCCCGCCTCGGACGTTACGGTGTGCAAGCGAACCTCTGCCGGACGTTCCTGGCCGCCGTCGCGCTGCCAGGCCGCGTCGCAGTGCAGAGAGGGAGAGGCACCAGGGCCGGAGGAGGGAGAGGCACCAGGGCAGGAGGGACAGGAGGAGGGCAGGGAGAGGCGGGGAGGAGGGGGAGGGCAGGGAGAGGCACCGGGGCAGGAGGGAGGACAAGGAGGAGGAGAGACTACGGGGAGGGCCGCAGGCAAACATGTTTTGCGAGGCGGGGGACATATCCATAACCGCCGCACGTGGGACCGAAGGCCTGAGAGCCCACCGCTCGGCGGATGTGGAATACGTCCGGGCCAAAGGGGGCCCGAATGTATCCACATCCACCGCCTGCCGAAGTCTGCGAAAATCGGCCTCCAGGCGGTGGTTCTGCATCAATCTGCGCCTCGGATATTTGGACGCCCGAAATGGGCACAGAAGAAAGATGGCAAGGTGCGCAACAGCAAATATTGCCCAGCAACAGCCAGCGGCTGGTGTTCGGCACGTGGCCTCCTGTCTCGACATGACCAAGAACTGCTGTTGGGCACCGTACCCGTTCCTTCCGTACCCAATTTGCCCGCTACGAACATACGCACACGTACGTCCTCCACGGTCCCGTGGCCCTGTCCTCCTCGCGTCGTTTTTATATATATATATATATATATATATAATCGTATTTTAATATTCTATTACCCGGAAGCCCCCCCAAACCGGATACCCAAGGGACGCCCTGGACACCCTTACGGACGTTTCAACGGTCCCCTGGACGCCCTTGGAAAAGGTACGCTGGCCCTTCCGGGCCTCCCCAAGAGAGACCCAAGACAGCACCAGAGCGCTCCAAGAGGAACCTCGATGGTCTGAAGACGGCCCAAGAGGCCCCCAAGACGCCCTAAGAGGCTGTTAAGAGAGCCCCGGAGAAGCAAACATCGTCCCATTCCTTCGGGAAAATGTATAAGTTTAACATATCCGCTGTTTGGGACTTCGCAGCGTCCAAAGCGGCCCGATAGGCCCCCGATATCGCCCCAAGACGGCCCAAGAGGCCCCCCAAAGGCTTTGAAGGCGGCCCAAGAGGGCCCCCAGACTGCCCCAGAGAGCCCCGAGACTGCCCGCAAGAAGCTCAAGATGCCCCCAGAGAGACCCACGAAAGCCACGGGAGACCCCCAAGATGGCCACTGGAGGCCCCCAAGAAGGCCCTAGATGGCTTCAGAAGACCTCTGGAGGGCCTCAGCTCCCCAAGACGGCCCAAGAAGGCCCCTGGACGACCCAAGAGGGCCCCAGGACCGCCCAAAAGAGCCCCCAAAACGCCCAGACGGCGTTTCCCCACGAAGTACATCGAGCTGACCCGACGATTTTGGTTCCACGCTTGAGGCTAGGGTTCCAGCTCCTCGATCGAGAGTGACAGGCAATGGATCTAGATTCGAAGTTCGACGGTCGAAGATTTCCTGACTGCCTGGAGTCTTCCAGGCATTCAGGAAGCAACCAAAAATCGATTTGTTCGGTGCTACTGCGACTTTTTCGGCGTGTCATGGGAACGCTCCTTACTTCCTCAAAGGACCTTCGCGCGCGAAAAAAACATCATTCCCCCAGCTCCTGCGCACAAGCGTGCAAGCGCATCGGGCGAACGCGGTGTCAGCAGGCACCAGGGATATCAGAAAAATGAGCCGGTCGCCCGTCCAGGTTTCGAGGTCAACCCCGCTGAAGCAAGCGATGATTTATTGCTTTGTCGGGGAGGGTCCGGAACAAAGCGCATGGCGCGAAGCGCCAATGTCCAGGCCTCCTGGGGGGGGGGGGGGGCCCACGTCGTGAAAAAACATGGCGTCAGGGGCCGGGGAGAGTGGCCCAACAGGAGAGGGTGACCGTCCCAGATCTCCGAGGGTATGGTCTGTTCTGTCCTGGCGGGCCTTCCCTCGTTTCGGCCTCCTGGGCCCGTCATCGGGGCCCAGGGGGGCCAAGTGCGAAGCGGGGATGTATCCACGGGGCCATCGAGCACGGATCCTGGGCGCAAAACTACCCCAGGGGTACGGGTCGGGAGCTCCAGGGCACCGGATCGGAAAGATCACACCGTCGGATGTCTGAGTCCGCCCAGGAGCTGCTGCAAGAACAACACGCACTCAAACAAATGGGCAGTAAGACTGGGGAAGGGCAAGGAGATGAAGGCGCTACAGATATGGGCTCGGGCTGTCGGACCCTAAGAGGAGGCTCCCGTTCGAGCGGGCACCCCAATCCAACAACGCGCACACCCAATAGCCCCCATGGAATTCCACCCAGAGCAATCTAGGGGTCCCATTTTCATATGAGTTCTAGATGTCAGCTCACGAAGAAAGTGCCTTCTGTTGCGCGGTTTCACAGGGCCTGACGGTGAACGTTAGGAGGGCACCCGCTCATGGGGGGGGTCCCCAAAAAGCCTGGCCCTTTCCTGAAGGCTACTTTTTCATCCTGCGTCGCTTTTTAAAACTCCCGGGACTGGCGAGAGACCCCCGAGACCGAAAACAACAAAAAAGCGCCGTCTTGATTCAATAGCGTCTCGGTAGGTGGTTCTCAAAGTGGCTAGTAAAAGACCGCACAAGAGTCCCGCAAGGGGGACGGGGAGCCTGAGGACACCAGGTCCGGCAGCCCTTTCGCCGGAGACTTTCTCACAATTTACCCAGGAACCGTGCTCTCGCCTCAACGCCGCTACATCTCTGGTCCAGACAGCCACGCTCCCATGCAAAAACAGACACGAAGGTGCACATGACCGCGCGTGTCCTAGGAACCCCCGGGAATACCGAGGAACGCACACACTTTCTCTAGCCGACCTCCTACTCCTCGACCCGTCTCTTCACGTTTGCTGCCATCAGGGCGCTTCGCTGGGGTACTTACTAAACACCTCTGATATCTGGGGCCTGTGGGACCACGCCAGGGGCCACTCTCGGGGCCGCCCTTTGCACCAGCGGCCAGTGGCCTGGGATCCCTCCGCTCCAGCAGCAGCGTGAGAGCCAGGCCCAGCAGGTGCGCCGGGGGCCCCCCGAAGACCGAGGAACAAAAAACGGCACTGCCCTGACATCCTGGCGCTGCAGTTTTTTCACACTGGGCGGCTTCGCCAAGTTTCGGGCTCCCGGACCCTCACAGATCGATCCGGCGTGAAAAACGCCGAAGAAAGATGGGGTCCGGGGCTACGCTCGCGACTTTATCGAAGTTGCTTTTGTTTCGGAACGTCGGATCTCAGGGAACCATAAACTTTGGGAGCTCCGCGCGGATTCCCTGGATCTGAACTGGGACCCCCCCCGCCTGGCGCGCGCCACCAGGGGGGCCAGCGCAGCAGATCCAAGAAATACGCGCGGAACTGCGAAAGGTTGTGCCCTGAGATCCGACGTTGCGATGTCATGAAACATAGAGAAAAATCACGACTGGACCCCCAAACCCCCTTTTTCTGCGGCACCTGTGGTCGAGCAGGATCGATCCGTGATGGTCCCAGAGCCCGAGACTTGGCGCAGACGCCCGTGGTGAACAAACTGCTGCGACGCCAGGACCTCGGGGTCTCGTGCCGCCGTTCGTTCTCCGAGAAGAGCGAGGAGATGCCACCGCCGGCGCCCGCACCATCTGGCAGCGCCGCCGCCGCCTCGGCGCGCGGCGCCAGCACCGCGCCCCCCGGGATCCTCAGGATCGGGCGGCCGTAGAAGACGCCTCGCGACAGGGCCGTTCCAGCCCCGCCGGCCCGCTCCTCGAGCTCCACCTCCCGAGCGGCGCGGGCATCTGCATCCGCACCCTCGCGATCTGGACTCCGGGGCGCGATCCCGCGGATAGCTCCTCCTCCTCCTCCTCCTCCTCCTCCTCCTCCTCCGCCTCCTCCTCCTCCTCCTCCGCCTCCTCCTCCGCCTCCTCCTCCTCCTCCCTCCTCCCTCCTCCTCCCCCTCCCCCTCCTCCTCCTCCTCCTCCTCCTCCTCCTCCTCCTCCTCCTCCTCCTCCTGCTCCTCCTCCTCCCCCTCCTCATCACCCTCTGGGGCGCGATCCTGCGGATAGGTGGCGACATCCGAGCCCCAAGCCCCACCAGCCATCGGTTCTCCTGAGTCGATGGGAGGCGGGGTCAGGATCGACGGCTAGTGGGTCAGGGTGCGGACTTCGCCACGTGCTCTGTGAGTTCCCAACCCTGCCCTCGCCGCCCATCGAAGTGCCTTAAACGTTGGTCTTCGATGGTAGGGCTCGGATGTCTCTGCTGAGCGGAAACGCGGTCGCACGGATAGTTACGCTCCGAGCGGGGGATCCGCACAGAAACGCTCCGCATCCGCGGGATCGCAGCCCAGGGGCCCGGCCCGCGAGGCCGCGGACCCTGAGATCCGAACTTGCGAAAAATTGCAACATCGTGAAAATCACGACCGGAGCCCTGAACCCCAGCTTTCTGCGGCATTTTTCGAGCAGCATCGACCTGCGAGGGTCCCGGGGCCCGAAACTGGGGGAAGACGCCCAGTGTGAAAAAATTGCGACGCCCGGATCTCAGGCAAAGGAAACGCACCATCATCACCACCACCACCACCACCACCTGGAGAATGGAGGCAGAAAGTGGTCAGGGATGGTGGTGGTGCACATCGTTTCGGGCGCTCTTGCGGGACATCATGCACACCCTCATCCCACACATCAGCTCATCCTGAATCCCCCCAGTGGTGCTGGTGGCGCGCTTCCTACTTTCAAAAGATGCGCATATGCCTTCCGCCCACGACCACCCGGAGGCCCTGCCGGCGCATGTCCTCCCAGAAGGCCTTGACCCCGACGCCCGGAGAACCCGGAGGAGTCGGCACCAGCACTGGGGGCCGCCTCCGACGCGGAGGGAGGCAGGCGAGACGATGTTGTTCATCGTAGGTAGCATCGGTTCGCTAATAGCGTCTCGGTAATGGTTCTCATAGTAATGGGCAAACGACCGCACAAGAGTCCCGCAAGGGGGACGGGGAGCCTGAGGACACCAGGTCCGGCAGCCCTTTCGCCGGAGACTTTCTCACAATTTACCCAGGAACCGTGCTCTCGCCTCAACGCCGCTACATCTCTGGTCCATACAGCCACGCTCCCATGCAAAAACAGACACGAAGGTGCACATGACCGCGCGTGTCCTAGGAACCCCCTGGAATATTTGGAATGCACACACTTTCTCTAGCCGACCTCCTACTCCTCGACCCGTCTCTTCACGTTTGCTGCCATCAGGGCGCTTCGCTGGGGTACTTACTAAACACCTCTGATATCTGGGGCCTGTGGGACCACGCCAGGGGCCACTCTCGGGCGACGGGCCGCCCTTTGCACCAGTGGCAGTTGAGCTGGGTGGGATCCCTCCGCTCCAGGATCAGCGTGAGGGCCAAGCGCAGCAGGTGCGCCGGGGGCCCCCCGAAGACCGAGGAACAAAAAACGGCACTACCCTGAGATCCTGACGCTGCAATTGTCTCACAACGTGCGGCTTCGCCAAGTTTCGGGCTCCCGGACCCTCACAGATCGATGCGGTTCGTGATGTTTCTCGATGTTGCAGTTTTTCCGCAACGTCGGATCTCAGGGAGCCAGAAACCTTCGGAGCTCCGCGCGGACTTCCTGGATCTGCACTGGGACCACCCCCCCGCCTGGCGCGCGGAGCGCGCCAGGCGCGACGACGGAGGCGCCACCAGGGGGGGGGGCCAGCGTCGCCTTCGTTCACCAGGGGGCGCCACCAGGGGGGGGGCTCTGGTCGTGATGTGTGTCGATGCTGCATGTCTCTCGCACCGTCAGACCTCAGGGGAGGGGGGCCAGCGACGACGGCGTCCCTCCCTGGCGCTTTTCGTCTTTTCTGGCCCTCCAAGGAATTTCTCGTCGCCACGGCTGGATCCGCGTCGGAAAACGGATCAGGATGACATCGGAGGGGGTTCTGGGGCCCGCTGTTGAGCGGATCGAGGTGGGCAGGGAGGGAGAGCCGCCGCTGCCTCAACTGGTCCTCCTCCGAGACGGCATCCCCTGAGGTCCGAGAGTTGCAGCTTTTGCGCACCTGGCGTTTTCGCCTGGCTTCGGGCCCTGGGGTCCTCACGGACCGATCCGGCTGGGGAAATGCCGCAGCAAAGGGGGGTCCTCGGACGCGGTCGTGATGCTTCGCGATGTTTCGAGTTTTCGCGACGTCGGATCTCAGGGTCCACTGATCTTGGTGCGAGTGGTGTACTCTCAAGGCCACCCAGGAAGCCCGAAGAGTTCAGCGGCACGCAGGATGCGGCGGGGCGAGGGTGGCAACCTTTCTAAGCGGACGCCCCGCCTTCCTAGAAGCCCACCCGCCTCCTCAAGAAGCTTTCTCTGGAGCCTCCCAGAGAGGGGTGGGAGGGTGGGGAGCGGGGGCAATCCCTTCTGGGAAAGTCCCTGCCATCATCCTCAGAAGGATCCCCGCCCCCACCAGGACAGGGCAGGCTAACTCTGCCAGCGCACCCCCTCCAAGGGGCCTGGGCGCATGGGCACCCATACCCACCTCGGGGGGCACGTCGGCAAGCAGAGCAAAGGTTTCTCCGAAGGTGGTTTTTCAGAATCAGGCCGTCCCTGCGTTTCTTCCCGTCCCACCTTCTGGGCGCCGCCGAACATTACCACCATCGGCGGAGTCCAGAGCCGATGCTCGTGATTCCTGAAACCTCCGACGCGGTGACCTGTCTTTCACGACGTGGGCCCCTGGGGGTCTCGACCCTGCCACGCTCCCCAGGAGGCGCAGAAAGGCGAAAACGAGGGAAATGTAGCCGCATCGGTACCATTCAAAGCAAAAGGTCGCATGCCCCACACCGGCCGCTGTTCGGTTGGACGACATTTGCTGTCGGGCTTGCTGACGGGGAGACCAAAGGGTACCGATACCGCAACTCCCCGGACCTCTCCCTGGGCGCGTTGCGACCAGAAGTCCAAGGCGAATCCAGCGTTAGCGACGAAAGCCTCCCAGGGGGCGCAGAAGGGCGAAAACGACGGAAAGGTAGCGGTAGCGGTGCCGTGTCCTCCTCTGCGCTGCTCTGCGCTGGTGCCGACCTCTCGGGCCTCCGAGATGCCCCCCGCCGCGGCGCAGCTCTCCGCGGCGGGCCCGCCCGCCTCCCCCGCCGCTCTGGCGGCGGCGGGGGCGCTGGCGCCGGTGCGGCCGCACAGGCAGAGCAGGCACGCCACTGTGCCGAGGGGCGTCCCCATCGGAAGGCGGGGGGGAAGGAGGGGGGAGGAGGAGGAGGAGGAGGACGACGACGATGAGAACGAGGAGGTCGAGGAGGAGGAAGGGCAGCGAGAGGGCAGAGGCGGAAAGGAACTGGAGGTGCGGCGCCTATCATCTGCTCGACCCCCCCCCCCAGACGTCACCTCCTCGGCAATGGAGGCCAAGGAGGAAAGGGAGGTGGAAGGACGAAGAGGGGGCCGAGAAGTACGAGATCAGAGTGGGGGGGCTAAACAGTCATTTACTGTTCCTGGGCGCGTGGCTGAAGTGAGGTTCTGCGGTGCGAATGGTTGTTGTTGTTTGTTGTTTGCTGTCTATTGTGTGTTGTTTGTTGTTTGTTGTTTGTTGTTTGTTGTCGTTGCTGTTGCTGTTGCTATTGTTGTTGTTGGTGGTGGTGGTGGTGCTGGTACTGGTGTTGTTGTTGTTGAACTCTCACTACTAGAGAACAATTATTGTTGATCTCCCCTCCAGTGACCACTGTATTTGTTCAATTGAAATGCTTCCCCCGGGGCTCGCACCCTGTTTTTGATCAGGGAAAATCACTAGGCTCAAACTGGGCCCCTGGCCGCCGGTTTACAACAACGGCTCCCGCCGGATATCTCCTCACAATTTATTCCCAAATCGCGCTCTCGTGCAGGACTTCCTCACTATTTGTATACGAATCGCACTCTCACGTGGGACTTCCTTTGAATTTCTTCAAACGATGCGCCTTCGGCGCTCCACAATCACGCTATCGACTTGGCTTTTCTCACGATTTACTTGGGAATCGCGCTATCGCTCGAGACTTCCTCGCGGTTCATTCAGGACCCACGCTTCAGCAACCCGCCTGCTCGACCTGGTCGCCTGGTCCCGCCTTCCCGATTTGCCCGCTATGGGTCTACCCATCCGATCTGCCCGTCTGCTTATACCACTTGTTTTCTCCTCCTTGCCCCCCTCCTGCTAATTTCTCTCGTGCTCCATTCTTCTCCCTCCCCCTTCCACCCGTCTTCTTCTGCCCTTGTTTTAGGGCTGCACAAATGCACGTGGCAGGTAAGCAAGATATACCCCTACGGGGGTACGATCGAAAACGACAAGGGCGGGTACCGAGGGTTCGGGATATACTTACTGATTGGCATGTGAGCAGATAGGAGCGAGCAGTCTTAAAATGATTGTTGTTGTTGATGATGATGGTGGTGTTGTTGCTGTTGCTGTTTTTGCTGTTACTATTGTTGTGATTGCTGTGTTACTGCTGTTGATGTTGTTGCTGCTATTGCTGCTGTGTTGTTGTCGTTGGGTTTGTTGTTGGTGTTGTTGCTGTTGTTTTTTGTTGTCGTCGTCCCCACCGCGACCCTGCCCGCGACCCACCCGCGACTGGACCCACCCGCGACCCACCCCGCGACCCAGCCGCGACGCAGCCGCGACCCACCCGCGACCCGGCCGCGACCCGGCCGCGACCCGGCCGCGACCCGGCCGTGACTTGGTCCGCGACCCACCCGCGACCCACACGCGACCCACACGCGACCCACCCACATTGCTGTAACAAAAAAACCGGCGCCTGCGGCGGGCTTCTTCAGAGCCCCGCAGACTGCCGACGTCCCCGCCGACTCCTCACTCTTATTCACAACTGCGGGGTGCCACGGATCAATACCGTTGCTCGTCCCAGAAAACCCTCGTCGCCGCGGCTGGGTTCTCCTCGAAATTCTGGCTAGGTCAGAATGCACCCCAACAGAGGTCTGGGGAGGAGCACTCGGGGGACTAGGGGGACCCATGGGGCCTACCAGATTCGGGAGGGAGGAAGGTCCAGATCTCTGACGATGTGAATTTGATCCTCGATTTCGGTCTCTGGGGCCGTTGTCGAACCCACGGCCATCAAAAATGGATCTGGGACGAAAACCGCGCCCCTGGGACAGGGTCAGGAGCTCTGGGGCCGCGGACTCTACTTCACAACAAAAGACAGGTTAGCAAGCGTGGGCTTCAAACTGTCTGCTTCTTGCAATCGATGGTGTGCAATCTGTGTCGCGCAGTATTAAGTGGTGCAATCTGTGTGGTGCAATGAATCACTTGCTCAACTTGAAGCTGTCCTCTCCACTGCTCGTGCAAACATCCCACCCTCCCACCCGCAACTTGGCCGCAAGACCTCTTAAGACCGTGACGGTAGGTACCAAATGGCACTCGGCAACGACACCGACGCCGACGACGATAGCGACAACGACGACGACGACGCCGCCGACACCGACTACGACGACACCGACGACGTCTCCAACGACTTCGACGACGACGACAACAACGACGACGACGACACCGACGACGACGACGGCGACGACGACGCCGACGCCGACGTCGACGACGACGACGACGACGACGACAACGACGACGACGCCGACGCCGACGCCGACGCCGATGACGACGCCGACGACGACGACGACGACGACGAAGACGATGACGACGACGACGACGACGACGACGACGACGACGACGACGACGTCGCCAACGAAGACGACGACGACGACGAGGGAGGAGGACGACGAAGGCGACAACGACGACAACGGCGAGGGAGGAGGGAGGACGACGACGGCGACAACGACGACAACGACGAGGGACGAGGGAAGACGACGACGACGGCGACGAAATAGGAGGGACGACGACGAGACGCCGACGACGGACGACGACGACGAGGGAGGAGGAAGGACGACCACGGCGACAACGACGACGGAAACGACGACGACGCCAAAGAGGACGACAACGACGAGGAAAAACAGAGGACGACGACGGCGACGACGTCGACGACGACGAGGGAGGAGGGAGGACAGCGACGACGTCGACGACGACGCAAAAGCGCGCGCGCACGCTTTTTTCGAAAATCCGTGTTGCGAAACCCGGTGTTTTTGTGTGCTTGGGACACTCAATCCCACCAGCCCTTTGGGCGTGAGTGGTTTAGAGAGCCCTCTCTGTCCTCAACCCCCCTTCTTCCCCTTCGGGGAGGGGTTTACCCCTCCCCCTACCCCCTCCCCCTGGGCCTGGAGACGGGTGGTCAGAGGGGTCTTTTCCGACTCCTGGGAGGGCTAAAAAACGACTACCCTCACGAGGATTCTGGCCCCGACGGGGGGACGGAGATAGGCCCCCCTCCTCTTCTTTGAAGCCAAAATCATTGATTGTACTACGGTTTTGGCCCCATTTTGGCCTCCTGAGGGGGCCGCGCTCATCTTCCTTCATAGCAAAATCATTGTTTGTACGAAGGTTTTGGGCTCATTTTGTCCTTCTCAAGGGGCAGCGCTCCTTTGCGCTTCAGAGGAGGTCGCAAGAGGCCCCAAGATGGCCCCAAGAGGCCCCCAGGAGCCTCCCAAGAAGCCTCCAAGAGGCCCCCAAGAGGCCCCCAAGAGGCCCCAAGAGGCCTCCAAGAGGCCCCCAAGAGGCCCCCAAGAGGCCCCAAGAGGCCCCAAGAGGCCCCCAAGAGGCCCCCAAGAGGCCCCCAAGAGGCCCCCAAGAGGCCCCAAGAGGCTCCAAGAGGCCCCCAAGAGGCCCCACGAGGAGCCCGAACGACTCACACCAGGACGAGGGGCCCGAACGACTCACACCACGCAGAGCCCGAACGACTCACACCACAAGGAGGGGCCCGAACGACTCACACCAGGACGAGGCGCCCGAACGACTGACACCACGACGCGGGCCCCGAACGACTCACACCACGAGGAGTCCGAACGAGTCACACCAGGAGGAGGGGCCCGAACGACTCACACCAGGATGAGGGGCCCGAACAACTCACACCACGAGAAGCCCGAACGACTCACACCAGGACGAAGAGCCCGAACGACTCACACCACGAAGAGCCCGAACGACTCACACCAGGAAGAAGGGCCCGAACGACTCACACCAGGACGAGAAACCCCAAACGACTCAAATCACGAGGAGCGCTTTCTCTCCCTCCTCCTCCGCCTCGTCCTTCTCCCGCTCCCCCCACAAGGAGGATGTACAAGGAGGCGGGAGGAAGGAGGAACAGGGGAGATATGCGGGGCCAAGCGGACACACGCCTGAAAAACACGACTGCCGGCATGTTTCGCAAGAGTTGTTGCTGTGAGATGGGCTGGTGGGGATACGCGAAGCCTAAAGAAATTTGAAATCCTTCCAAAACCGGGGGCTTTTGAAGGATTTCAGCATGCGAGCGCGACGACGCGCGCGCGTGCACTTCGTCACATTTGTTGCAGAGGATTCTCGCGACGGCACGCGGCCAAGGGCGTCCGAAAGATTTCGACATGCGCGCGCGAAGCCCGTGTGGTAGTCTGTTTTGCAAATCTTGAGAAACATTTAAAATACAAAACGATGGTGTCCTTAAGAGTTCGTGAAAGCGCGCGTAATCTTTTTTAGAAACTCAGTGGTGCGAAACCTTGTGTTTTTGTAGGTTGTTTGGACACTCAATTTTGAACTCCTTCCGAAACCGATAATTGTTGAAGGATTTCGGCATGCGTGCGCGACGACGAGCGTGTGTGCACTTCGTTCCGTTGTTTGCAAAGGATTCTTGAAACCTTATGAGCTTCGATAAACGAGTGCGCGCGCATAGTATTTGTTGCAGAGGATGGCGGGGGGGTCAATACCAGCCTGGCTGGGATAGTATGAAATCACAGGTAGGATGGACGTTGGGTCAGAATCCTATGTGTTGTGCATCGGTTCCCGGGGGGTCTTTAACCCCACAGGGGAGTAGAACCTAAACAGATGCGGTGCAGTACATGTATGCATGTAGAAAAATACCGACATATATATATATATATATACATATATATATATATATATATACATACATACATACATACATACATACATACATACATATATATATATATATATATATATATATATGGTCGCCCCCCCCCCCCCCCAGCGCACCCCAAACCACCCACGACCACAAATCCATCATTGATCGTTTGCTCCTGCTGCTGCTCCTCCTCCTCCTCCTCCTCTTCCTCCTTTCCCTCCTCCTGCTTCTCTGCTTCTTCCTCTGTTTCCTCTCTTTTCTTTCTCCTCCTCCTCTCATCCTCCTCCTGCTGCTCCTCCTCCTCCTCCTCCTTATGAGAAGCCTTACAAAAGGGGCTGCTCTCTGAGGAAACCATATGAAAACACAGATATTCCTGATATGTTTGAATGCTTTGGCAAGGAAACCATATGAAAACACAGATATTCCTGATATGTTTGATGGTTTTCGTTAGGAAACCCTGTGAAAACACAGATATTCCTGATATTTGTTGGTTTTCTGGAAAAGGGCGCCCCTCCCCCTGCTCCCTCCCCAGGTCCACGCCCCTCAGGGACAATGCGCCAGGCAGGAACACCTGTGAAAACACAACTATTCCTAATATTTTGAAAGGTTGTCGCACAGAAACCTTGTGAAAACACAGATATTCTTGATATTTTTGATGGTTTTCATAAGGAAACCATGTGAAAACACAGATATTCCTGATATTTTTGGTGGTTTTCGTTAGGAAACCCTGTGAAAAAAAAAGAAATTCCTGATATTTTGTGGTTTTCTTGATACGGGCGCGCTGCAAAGGCTGGTGGCGCAAGAGGAAGAGGGGCGCCCGTCTCCAGAAAACCACAAAATATCAGGAATATCTGTGTTTTCACCGGGTTTCCTAACGAAAACCATTAAAAATATCAGGAATAGCTGTGTTTTCACCTGGTTTCCTTATGAAAACCATCAAAAATATCAAGAATATATGTGTTTTTATGTGGTTTTCTTGTCAAAAACTTCAAACAGATCAAGAATACCGGCGTTTTCATAAGAGTTCCCTTACGAAAACGATTAAAACGATCAGGCGCGTGTGTGTGTGTGCGTGCGTGCGTGCGTGTGTATGTGCGTATGTGCGTGCGTGCGTGTGTGCGTGCGCGCGTGCGCGCGTGCGTGTGTCACAAGGCTTCCTCACGACAGCGGCCGCAGCATGGACGGGACTTGTGTTTTCACAAGGTGTCCTTACCAACGCCTTATGGACCCTCTGTGTCTAGTTTTGGGCAGCAGACCTTGCTCAGCCGATCGGGAGACGCGGGCAGCAAACGGTGGGGAAAGGAAGAACAAGTTCACAAAGAATATGAGGGTGACGACGACGTGGCGACAACGTTTTCTGGAAGGTAGCGTTTGCGGTTGCTGCTGTGACTCCCTCGTCTTTGGCATAGTCGGGGCAGCCAGTGTACAATCGATCAGCATTTATAATATCGAGGGGCAGCGTTGGCCGCTGGCTGCCCCCCGCCGAAACGGCCGCCCGCTCATTCCGACGCATCGGCATTCATTCCGCCGCCCAGGCCGAGCGGATCGCCGTTGTCTGCATCGGCGAGCGCAGCGGCGAGGTCCTGGCTACCGGGCGCGGCGGCGGCGCCGCGGGCCTCTTCGGGCGAGCTCGAGTGGTCGATCTCGACCTCCGGGATGCTCCCGAACGACCTCGCCCAGCAGATGCGCTTGGGCAAGGGCGGGAGGGGCTCGCGGGCCGCCGACGAACTACTGCCGCCCTCGGCGCCGTCAGGCGGCTGCTCCTCCTTGACCGAGAGAGGCAGGGGCACGGAACCCTTGTCCAGCAGCGCCTTCATGAAGCGGAGCTGCTTGTCCCTCAGCGAGTTGTATTCCTCGGCGTCCCGCATCGCGCCGTTGTGGATGTAGTCGTAGAGAATATTCCCCGCTGCCTTGGTAATGTAGTGGCCAACCTTCGGGGCCCTCGCCACGTCCGAGTCCAAACCCGCCAAGCGCTCGAACACGTCATTGGGGGTGTTCACGACCGCGGAGGACCGCTTCAAGAGGGCCATGACGTTCGCTTTGGACATGTCCTTGGGGAACGTGCGCTTGAGCATGTCGAAGAAGTACTGGTTTCGCTTCTGCTTGGCCTCAGCTGGCGACAAGATGCACAGACCGCGCCACGCGTCCATGGTGGGGACAGCCGTCTCGTCGCACATGTTCTCCGCGGCGAAGCGCGCCTGACCCCGAACGAACTCGGCAGCCCCCCACCGCCCCCTCGTCATCGCCTGGAACTGGCCGACGCCCAAGAAAGCCTTCAACGTCTTCGGGCGCTGCTCGAACAAGTCGCCGTCATCAAAGACGCACGGGCAGTGCTTCGTGCCCTCTTCGGCCCTGAAGAAATCCAGGTCTGGCCCCTCTCTGAACGAGGCCAAGCCGCGGCCCCCCAGCTTGTCTGCGTAGTAGTCGCCCATGGCGAATGCCAGCGTCTCCAGGCACGGCGTCTCCCCCTCGCCAGGCTCGCCGACCATGAGGCAGGAGTGGCCCTTGAAAGTAGGCACGATGCGCTGCGCGCGCTCGACGCCCTCGCCCCCTGTGTCGAAGATGAAGATGGGGTGGTACGTGATCTTGTTCGCCTGAATGCCCTGGTCCTTAATGTGCGAGAGAACCTCCTTAATCTTCCCCTCTTCCCAGCTGTGGATGGGGCTCTGCGGGTCGTTCAGCTGGAAGTCGATCCACATCATCTGTTCGCAATCGAAGTTGCCGCGCGGGGCGTTGTCCTTAATGAACTGGTACTGGGATACGATCATGTCCTGGGGAAGGCACTTCTTCTGCTTCTCCTTTTCGCCCTTCTCCTGCGGGGGTAGGTGGTAACGGAAGTGCGCGCCGCCGAGCCGATCCACCATGTAGACCAAGACTTCCCACGGCGTCTTGACGTCCGCCCCCTTGCCCCAAGATAGCGCGTACAACACTTCATTCTCACGCAGGAGGCGGTTCTCGACGTCGACCAACGGCTGCGGGCCCGAGAACAGAAAGTACTTGATGATGTCTGTCCCGTCGCCGTCGCCAGCGGGCACCAGTGCCAACTGCATCGTGTAAAGGGCTTCCCAGTTTGTTCTGGGGCGCAATAGCTCTGGCAGGCCATTGTAGTCGTTGACCGCCATAGCCTCCCGCACCGCGGCCATGTCGATGTCCCCCTGGTAGTTCAAGACAACGGCAAAGGCATGCTTCATCTTCTTGCAACCTTCAGACGGCATGAGGGGGAGATCCCCTACAGAGTAGAGAGCTGGGGGATCGTGTGCAGACGGTGCGCACACCGTGTGCAAACGGTGTGCACACCGTGTGCAAACGATGTGCACACCGCCGACTCATGGTGCACACGCCGTCTGTTCATGTTGTGCACACGGTGTGCACACCGCCTGCACACGGCGTGCACACCGCGTGCGCACGGTGTGCACACCGCGTGCACGCGGTGTGCACACTGCTACAGATGGCGAGCACACTGTCGACTCATGGCGTGAACACTACGCGCATACGGTGCGCACACGGTGCGCACGCGCACGCGGTGTGCACAAGGTGCGCACGCCGTGTGCGGACGCTGTGCACACCTCGTGCGCAAGGTGTGCACGCCGTATACAGACAGCGCGCACACCGTGTGCAGGCGGTGTGCACACCGTCTACACGTGGTGTGCACACCGTCTACACGTGGCGCGCACACCGTGCACGGACCAGACGGCGTGCACACCGCCGGCTCACGGTGCACGCGCCATCTGATCATGGCGCGCCTGCTGTTTTACCGTGTTTAAATTTGTTGTTACAAAATATGTGAACTTATGTTTTGTGGTGCATGTGTGTGTGCGCGCGCGTGTGAGTATGCGTGTTATACTGTTTGGTTATCGCTAGTTTTTGGCTGCGTTTTCGTTAAGTTTGCCCTCCCTCCCTTGTTTCCTCGCGCTGCTTTCTTTGTTTGTAAAGCCTGTTCGTGCCGCTGTCTTGGGGCCTTGTCGTTAGCGGCGCAGCGTCGTCTTCCCCCTTTGGGGTGGCGCCAGCGCGTGTGTGCGGCGAGGTAGCTCTCAGAAGCGGAGCGCCTTCCGCAGCTTCTCCCACTCGGCCAGGGGCGGCAGCGGGGTCGTGTCCTCGGAGGCCGCGTGTTTTTCTTTTACGCGACGACGACGACGACGACGACCACGACGACGACCGCGACGACCGTGGACACGACGACAAAAGCGACGACGACGACGCCCGCGACCACGACGACGACAAACGCGACGACGGCGAGCACGAACGCGACGACGACGACGCCCGCGACCACGACGACGACGAACACGACGACGACGACGACAAACACGGCGACGACGACGCCCACGACCGCGACGACGGCGGCGACGACGACGACGACGGCGACGGCGACGACGACGACGACGACGGCGACGACCACGACGACGACGACGACGACGACGACGACGACGACGACAACGACGACGACGACTACGACCGCGACGACGTCCGCGACGGCGAATACGGCAAAAGCAACAACGGCGGCGACGACGACGGCGGCGACGACCACGACGACCGTGGACACGACGACAGCACGACCGACGCGACCACCGCGCCCACCACCACGACCACCACCGCGACCGCCACCACCACCACGATCGCCACCGCCGCCGCGGCGACCACGACAACCACGAGCACGACGCTATCAAAAATAAGTTTTTTTTTATTATCAAAAAGCGACAAAAACAACAAAAACGACAATCAATTATAATAATATATTTTTTTTTTTGAGAAAAAAAAAAAAAAAAAAAAAAAAAAAAAAAAAAAAAAAAAAAAAAAAAAAAAAAAAAAAAAAAAAAAAAAAAAACGCCCTCGTCTTGGCGGCTCTCGCGCTGGGAAGGCTTGAAGCGCCTGCTCACCACCACGTCGGTGGAGTATGCCGAGACGAAGCTGGACACTGCGACGAATTCGTAGACCTCTTCGTCCGAGCCCCACGAGTTCAGGCACGCCAACGTGCCGTCCAGGCACCAACGCACGCCTGCCATGGCGTGCGTTCTCGTCGAAGTTGGCGGTACTCTGGCCACGATGACGATGACGTACAGGCCGCGGCACTTGTCCACGAGCTTGCACGCTTCGTCAAAGTTCCGCGTGACCTCTCTCGCGTACGATCTGAAGCAGCGGATGGTCTGCTTCTTCCGCACGCAGAACCGCCCCAGTTTCTCGGCCATGCTATCTGGCCAAAGCGCCTTTCACGGGAACAACACAAAAACGCACGCGACAACCAATTGTTTCAGAATAAAAACCACGCTACAAAACAAATCGAAAAAATGTGTTGGAACTTTTTTAACCATTAATTGGTAGTCGCATGCTTTTTGTGTTTCACGAACCTAGAAACCTTTGGCGGGAGGCCGTTCGCCATCCAGGAGTCAAGGATCTCCTTGGACTCCGCGGCGGTGTTGAACTTGATCCTCAAGACGTGGGCGGAAGTTGTGGCCAGGGCGTACTCCGAGCAAAGCCCGAAGCCGCCCTGGTCCAACACGTCCGCGAGGAGCCTTCGCTGCGGTTCTGTCGTTTTCTGCTGCGTCTCTCTAGGCTCCTCCCCTGGCTTCTCCTTCGCCTCCTCCTCCTCCTCCTTCAGCTCTGGCGCGTCCTCCTGCTTTGGCTGCTGGTACTCCTTGTTATTCTGGATGAGGGCCTGTTGTGTGTGTGTGTTGTTTTTTGTGTTGTTTAAAACTAATTAAATAATTTTACATAGGAAACTGATACGCGTGCCGCACAGGCTCCGTAACAATGGACAAGGCGTGCTCGACGTCGTCGTCGCGGCCGGACAGGCCCATGATCTTCTTCACCACGGCGCCTCTCTGAGGGCCTGTAAGGACGCCGGCGTCCGCGCAGGCGCAAATGCAACACTTTTCATTTGGCAGTGCGTTTCCTCTGGTTTTTTCGCCCTGTTTGTTGATCGCGCCGAATTTGCAATCCAGATTGATGCACAAGGATGGCATGTTAAAAAACAACAGCAACAAAAAAAACAAATACGTTAGCGTATGCTTGGCAACGGCTTGAGCACAATACGTTAACTACATGATGAAAGTGAGCGTGAGGACGCTGATGAAATATAGTGTTCGTCATCATCAAAATCATCACCATTGCAATTGTCATCGTTGCCATCGCCATCATCTTAATCGCAATCGTCATCAGAACCATCCCCATCATCATCATCATCACCATCATCATCATCATCATCGTCGTCGTCCTCAGCCCCATCATCGTCATCATCATCATCATCATCATCATCATCATCATCATCATCATCATCATCATCATCATCATCATCGCACTCGTCATCATCAACTCCAGGAGGACCCAAGAGGCCTCCAAGAAGCTCAAGACGCGCCCAAGAGGCGCCCAAGAGGCCCCCAGAGGCCCCCAGACTGCCCCTAAGGGGCTTCGAAACTGTTTTCAACAGATCCCCGAGATGCCTCCCACCATATCCCAACGAACATCCAAGAGGCCTCAGGTGCCTTCTCGAACAATCGCCATCGAACATGCTGAGCCTGATGAGGGGAGGAGCGTGAGGGAACCAGGAGGAGGAAGAGAAAGATGGTCGTTGGGGTGCGCTGGGGGGGGGGCGAGCATATATATATATATATATATATATATATGTATATATGCATGCAGAGACCTACACATACATATATACATATACAAACACGCGTTGCAATATATGTGGTACGATCTATGTTGTGCAAGATATGGTGTGCGATCTATGTTCTGCAATACACGCGGTGCAGCATATGTTGTGCCCGATGTGTTGCGCGATCTACGTTGCGCAATATATGTGGTGCAATCTATGTGGCGCCGTCTATGTGGTGCAATGAACTTTGAACCCCACTGCTCGCGCCCATGCGGCGGCGATTGCGATGAGTGCGTGGTGATGGTTGGTGCATCTTTGCGGCCGCGCTGGCCCGCGCATGTTCGCGCGCACAGCGGCCAACTAGTTTGGCGCGCCCGACGCGACCGCAGTGGCGCTGCCCACTGGTCACTTCCCAGCGCGTCCCGCAGGCCGCGCTGACGCGCGGGCACTTCAGTGCGAGTCGATGACTGGGAAGGGCGCGGTGTCATGGCGAAGTCGACATCGGTAGACACCGTGGCGATAGTAGCGATGATGGTGACGATGATCACGATGACGACGGCAAGCCCAATGACGGCTCCGATGCTGACCACGCCGATGGCGATGATGGTGTCCTCGCGTCGGTGCTGAAAGCTTTTAAAAAGATTCCGACATGCCCGCGTGGACAAGGCGCGCGAGTGGACCGCATTGTAATATTTGACACAGGCCGTGCCCCCCTAACACGCGCGCAAGTGCGTTCGAATGTTTTCGACATGCGCGCGCGATCGCATTTGATGAAAATGCTGAGAACCCGTAATTTCTGATGAATTCACGAAAGCACGCGCCGACCTTTTCGAAAACGGATGTTGCAAAACCACAGTTTTGTTTGCCAACCCTCCTTGGTTGGGTATTCGTTTTGAATAGAGCAGTGTGGTCGCGTCCTTCCTCCTCCCGCCTCCCGCCTCTTTCCTGCCTCTTTCTGTCTTGCCTGCGGGGGGCTGCGAAACTGTCGCCAGTTTCGAGGCCTGCTGGGGGGTCCAGCATAGAGGGTAATCGCGGCAGATCCAAATTACACCTCGCCATTCCTGGGGGGCTGCGATCTGTGAAACTGTCGCCACTTTCGAGGCCTGCTGGGGGGCTCAGCATAGAGGGTAATCGCGGCGGATTCAAATTAGACCTCGCCATCCCTGGGGGGGGGGGCTGCGATCTGTGAAACTGTCGCCACTTTCGAGGCCTGCTGGGGGGTCCAGCATAGAGGGTAATCGCGGCAGATCCAAATTAGACCTCGCCCTCCCTGGGGGGCTGCGATCTGTGAAACTGTCGCCACTTTCGAGGCCTGCTGGGGGGCCCAGCACAGTGAGGGCCACGCGCGGATTCAAATTAGACCTCGCCATCCCTGGGGGGCTGCGATCTGCGAAACTGCCGCCATTTTCGAGGCCTGCTGGGGGGCCCAGCACAGTGAGGGCCACGGGCAGATTCAAATGAGACCTCGCCGTCCCTGCGGGGCTGCGATCTGTGAACCTGTCGCCACTTTCGAGGCCTGCTGTGATCCCCGTTTTCGAAGTGGCTAGGAGTGCTCAGGAATTGTAAATCATCAGCTTTATCAAGCCCTTTTCCTGTAGCCAGTGTCCTGCGAGTCTCCCGAATTCCGTCTGCAGACATATGTAACCCTCGCTCCGTCATCGCCCCCTTATAAAGTATCCTAAACTATTTGCGCCCCGCTTTTGCGCAGGGGTTGGGTACGTCGCCAGGGTAATTTGTTTCTGGAACACTCGATTTTCAAATCCTCGCGAAACCTAAAGACTTTCCCATGAGTTCGGGATGCGCTCGCGACGACGCGCGCGTGTGCACTACGTCAAATGCTTTGCAAGGGAATATTGGCAAATGAATGGTTTTTGAAAAACGAGTATGCGCGCATAGTTTGCTTTGCAGAGGATGGCGGTGGGGGTCGATACCAGTTTGGCTGGGATGCGATGGGTTCATGTTTAGGATGGACGATGGGGCAGAATCGCATGCAAAAGGCAAAAGCGGGCGGATAATGCCGCTCCCGGGAAGGTTGTAGATTCTAACCCTTTCAAAGAGAGGAGAATCCGTGTGGTGCAATAGCAATATACGCGGTGCAAGTTTGCAAGGCCGCGACAAGGCGGCAACGGGGCGGCGACGGCGACAACATAGCCGTCAGACCAACGCACAGGCCCAGACGATGGGCGGCGACAAGGCGGCGGCGACAGGGCGGCGACGGCGACAACATAGCCGCCAGACCGACGCACAGACCCAGCTCCATTGCAAACAGGTAGGAACCCCGAAGTGCAAGCACTGCTTGGGGAACATCGTCGGATGTCTGGGAAATATCAACGGCACGCTGTCGTTGGTAGCCCGCCAACGTGCTGCTCCTTCGTTTTTGCCCGAGGGCCTGGTCCTCCTTCAGCAGCAATGCGCTGATGGGCTCCCCACGGCGGCGTGCCATTGTTACTCTTGTTGCTCCCCGACACGACGGATTGGATCCGTGCAGATGGGGTCGGAGGATCGCGCTGCATCACCGATGCATCGCCGATGCATCGGCGATGCATCGGCGATGCGTCGGCAATGCGTCGGCAATGCATGGGCACCGTCGGCGTGGAGAAAATCGAACTCCACACGGAGCCGCATCGCCGATGCATCGGCGATGCGGCGGGATCCTCCGACCCCATCTACCCCGACCCCCATTTCAAGAGGCCTGGAGGGGACGGGAAGAGGAGGGCGGTGGGAGTTCCGAGGGGACCGGAGTCTGCCCTCGCCTCGGGCCTCCTCGGGGGCCTCCAGGCGCCTCGAAAAGCCCCCTGGAGGTCCCCAGGGGCCTGTGGATCATGGACGAGGAGGAGGCAGCCACGGCCGCTGGACTCAGGGAATCGCCCCTGACGCCCCCCCCCAAGGCCGGCCCCGACAAGCCAGCCGGTTGGGGAAGGGGCGGCTCCCTCAGCCGAGCGGTCGTGGTTGCCTCTCCTTCGCTCCCCGACGTCGGGAGACCTCCGGGGAGGCGGGGGAGAAGGGAGGGAGGGGAAGGCCGCGTGCAGGCTGCGGGAGCGCCACGCGGCCGCGGCTGGGCGCCAGGGCGGCTGGCGGCGGCTGGCGCACAAACCGAACCGGCCGAATGCAACGGACTACGACGCAGCCGAAGCGACCGAACCGAAGACACCCTTGCTGGGAGCCGCGCATACATATATATATATATATATATATATATATAACAAATAACAAAAAAAAACAACTAAAATAAAAAATAAAAACAAAAAAAACAAAACCAAAAAAAAAAAAAAAAAACTGCAGTGGCGCTTCGCGCCATGTACCTTGGTCCTTGAAGTTTGGCATGCAGGCGGAATAGCAGGAAGGTCAAGCCGACAATTTAGCGATAACTCCTTGTTGCCTTTTCCGGCATCGCCGCTATGATAATGTTATTCGTTATCCTTCCTCCATGCTTCTTTTTCCTCATATTCGCCATACCCTGCGCATTATCCCAATCCTCCTCTGCTCTTTTTTGCGGAGGCTCCTCCTGGGAGAGCCTCTGGGGGCCTCACAAAAGTTGTTTCAGGCTTTCTTAAGGCCTTCTGGAGGCCTCCTGGGCGTATTCTGGGGGCCTCTGGGGGCTTCCTCGGGCCACCCTGCCTCCAACCGCGGTCTCCCTGAACGACCAGGTCACGATTTAAAATGCTTCGGAGGGTGTCTTGGGGCCATCTTGGGCCGCCATAGGGCTCTCTGAGGGCCATCTTGGACCCGTGTTGTGCCGTGTTAGGGCTCTCTTGGACTGCCTGGAAGCCCTTTCGGATGGTTGTGGAGCGATGTTGGAGCCTCCCAGGCGGCTTCGGACGCCCAGAAGACCGCCGTCTTGGAGCGTCGGGAAGCCGAAAAGAGGAGAACCCCAAAATTCACCAAAAACCATTAGAAAATCCATGATTTTTGCCTCTTGGGGCCTTCTTGGGAGTGCTCTTGGAGGTCTCTTTGGGGCCGTCCAGGAGGCCTCTTGGGCCATCTTGAGGTCACGTCGGTCACTCTTGGAGCGCTGTTGTGCTGTCTTGGGGGTCTCTGAGACGTCTCCGGTAACCCCCCCTGATCGCCCTAGGTGTGCTGGGAAGGCTTGGCAAAACGCCCTGCGAGGTCCGGGGGGCCGCTTCGAGGCCCGTCCGGAGGGTCCCAAAGCCCCAGATCCCAGGAGTCCGGTTTTTGGGGGGGGGTCCCCCCGCCCAGGCTTAT